GGGGGGGGGGGGGGGGGGGGGGGGCAGAGAGGAAGAAAAAGACCCCGGGAAGTGCGATAACTTCTTTGAGGGACGGAAGGTGGTAACTAGCCCTCGCCCATCTTGCCTTTGAAAAATCAGCCTGTGTGATACCACTAGGCTGGACGGCGACACTAGACTATTGTTTTATTCGACGTGTGGACCTGGAAAGGCTTTTCGTTTCAATTCTCCAGCACCCGACACTCGAGGCACCAAGACACACCGGACACACTACAGCAGTGGCCCGCTCCAAGTCCAACCACAACCTTTCCGATACAGGCTGATGTCATGTTGTCCGGTGATACCATAGACGCATGCCGGACGTATTTTGTATGGGTGCACTCAAAGCCGACGAACAACGCACACTAGGACATCGGTTCATTGGGACATGAGTTCGTTGCCGCTTTGGGTAACACCAAAAACACATTTTCCATACCCACACCCTCCCCTCGTCTCGCCTTTCGAAGAAGAGCCAGCCGGTACCGCACCGACCAGTGATCCTGCATGTCCTTGGCGCCTCGCCCCTCCGGCCCCGCAGCCTTGTCCGCGCTTTTAGAAACCTTTGGCAATGGTAAGGGGGGTGAGGGAGGACCCACGCCGACTCTTGGCTTGATGGGGGAGTAATACGTACCATCAGCGCGCCAGGTTTCTTGCAGAGTGAGGTGAGAGGGGGATTTTTATGCACGTGCGGATGCGGGCATGGCACAACGCCCCCGACGCATCTCGTAAGAGTTCACCGCGGAGGCGTGCCGCATTTTCGTAGACCAGATCGGCATCGAGGAGCCGATCACAGAGAACACTACGTGGTGTCGGGGCGACGCGAGCGAAGGGCGGAGCAGATCCTAATTAGCGCCGGCAGGTGTGCGGGGAGAAGGACGGTGCTTCTTGCTTCTTGTGCCCTTCGGTGGCCGCTTGAGCGTTGGTACCGCACGTGAACGTAAAGAAAAAGCGGAGATCATCGCCCCGGTTCCGTGCCGTCATTTCCCGTGCGTGTTGTGCGGACCATCGTACTCCTCCGAGTGCCACCGGACCACGTCCTGCTACGACAATTGAACGCGGAAGAAGGTCTCGCTTCGACCTACACTGGCTTCCCACCTTGCGCAGGAATCGAGCGCGAGAAACGTCCCCAAGCGCAGCTGCGCATCTTTCTGCGATGGAGATGTCTCCTTCCTCCAGCGCCACGCTCCCGAGCTGCTGCCACATGGCCGCAGCCTACACAAAGATAAGACGGCGGCAGCAGGAAGAAGAAGAGAGGGGGGGGGGGGGGGGGGGGG